AAAAAAAAAGTTAAATCAAAATGGATAACATGAAAATGAAAGTAAAATGTACAAAACTTGACAGGGAAGTGCTTAAAGTTTCAAAGTTAAGGGGGAAACGTCACAATGATTATTGTTAGTCTGAACACATTAGAGGGATGTTCTGTACAAAGAAGAAAGAGAAAAAAATAGTTTTTAAAAATTGTAAACAGTTAGCAATTGAACGTTGCTACTAAGCAAGAAAACTGAAAAAAACCCACCCATCACAACAGTATAAAAAATCGAGACAAAGATGCCTTACAATTATGTAATATTACTGTAATAGTATAGGCTAATGCAATAAAAAAATTATTATTATCCCAAAAAACGATACGATTAATTCAAAACAAAAAAACAAAGAAAGATCCCGAGGGTGGTAGAATAATTGAAACTTGAGCATGTACAAACTAGCCTAATGTGTTTCAAAACTTCTTCCAATTTACTGTGAAGTGTGAAGCGAGGCTGCATCCCAGAAAAAATATTTCACAAAGTTTTGGGATAAGGGACATAATACAGAACATTTTAATGAACGTAAATTTACAGAGCTATCTCCCTTCAATTGGCTGAGCAACGATACGGGTGGTTGAAAGTTAGACCTTATTATTGTTTATTGTGAATAAAGGGCGTCCGATGAAGACTAGGCAAGTTTGTTATTTGCTTTGCGTATCTGGTAGTGGGGGAAAAGAGGGGGGAGGTAGATCATATATTATGTTGTTTAGTTGGACAAGCCCGACTTCTCAGGAGAAAGCAAAGACAAACACAGGGGATTTGTAGAACAAACACTGAAAAAAAAACCCAACAAACAAACGGAAAATTGTTTTGGCCGGGGACACTCTCCTCGTGAATGACTATAGCAATTAATAGCTCGTCCGTCAATGTCTGACGATGACCAATACATCTGCAGAGGAGAATATTTCTCAGCTGAAATAAAAGGATTAGAGGAATAAAAGGTTAAGATGACGTATGGCCTCTGCTGTGGCCGATGAGACCATGTCTAACTGAGAAGTGTTTCCTACATTTTGACCATTTAAAAAGTCAACTTCCACCTGTGGATTTGCTCAGCTTGCGGGCTTCTTTCTTGGTTTCGGCATTTCTTGTTCGTGAAGCCTCATAAAATTTGCTGCCCACTATGACTGCTACTTTCCATCTGTGTCTATCAGGAGCTAGGCTCTCTCCTATTAATGTACTTATGCTGAAGTCCTTCAGAGACATTTTCAGGGTGTCTATGTAGCGCTGTTTTTGTGTTGTAGTTGTTGTTTTGATTTTTTTTTTTTTTTGGGGGGGGGGGGGGGGAGGGTGCGGGGGGTGGGGGTGTACACCAACCTTACGCTCCCTGAAGACAGTTCAGAATAGAATACTGCCTTTTGGATTCTGTAATCAGGCATTCTTACGACATGGCCAGCCGAGCGAAGTTGAGTCCTTTTGAGCTTAGAACACAAACTCTCGGTTTTTGCCCTTTAGAGACTTCTGTGTGTGGTACTTTGTCCTGCCATTTGATGCCAAGAGTTCTCTTTAGGCATATCGTATGGAAATTATTACGCCTTTTTGGCACTGCTTTGGTACACCGTCCAGGTCTCGGCACCATACAACAGGGTTGGGAGGACTACATCATTGTGCAATTGTGATATCCCTACTGATCACGGTGAACCAGTATGGGTAATGGAGGAAAAGTTTTCTTTAGAGTACATTTTCTAGTCTCTTCCCCTTGAGGGATGAGCACCTCTGTCCTAAATGGACTGCTAAGATACCATGAGAATATAGACAAGAATAAATGAATCCAATGTTAAAAGATCCAAATTAAAAGATTCAATAAGTAAATGAATGAACTAGTGAATAAAGAAGTAAAAGAATTGTTTTTAAACTATTACTTAATCAGTAGAATTACTACACGTTTGTTTCAGAATTTCTGTTCAGTTCTACATGGTTCACACTCCATCGGTACTATTTAGATCATATATTAACACAGTATGTTCCCTCCTTCAGTTATTGTACGGTCATCCACAAACCCAACACATTTCCGAGCCCTTAGAAGAATGAAGTTAAGATCTCTTGGTGAGAGAAATTCCTTATTTTTTTGCCCTAAAATCAGGAACTCCTTGCCTCAGAAAAATAACAAATTCTAATACGTTTAAGCGATTGCTCAAGACTCATTTGTCTAATTCTGAGTTGTAGGTTGTGAGTAAGTGCTGATATGTTTTCTTTTAACTGCTGTTCGTATGTGTATATAATTAACTAGCTTAAAGAAACGATTGTCAAGTTATTATTGGATCAGTGTGTACTGCATGTGAACAGAAGCCTCTTAGAAGACAGAATTTCCCAAGATTAGATCTAAACGAAACTCATGAAAAACTGGTAATTAAACTGCAGTGACTTCTGAGTCCTTAATTTAACTGTGCACCCTTTAAATGATTCTGAACCACCGTTAATTTTTTTTCAAATTCGAAAGTTAACTGGTTGGGAAGTTTTAGGCGACCAAATTGACGAACTTTCACAAATATATCAATATTTATATAGATGTATGGTTGAGAAAGTATTCTTTCTGCGGCTGAACTGGTTCCCTGTTCCTGTGAAATGTTTAACCTTGTATGAATGAAGTATTACGCCCAGTGATCATGTAATTGATGAAAAGCGCTCAGAGCTTAAACTCGTATGGAATTGTACGCAATATAAATGCAAGCTAACACTAAAATGTCAATTATCATATGACGAGATGAGCTGTCCTTGACCCTGCTGGTAGTTGACCCGAGCCAACTGTGACGCAGCATCCTGGCCGAGGTTTGTGTAAAAAAATAATTCTAGCTATAGATAAACTACCCCACTGAGGAATTGATCACACGTCTGCTGGTAGCTTAGTTTAGTTTTAGTCAGAGTTTTAGGGCATTTTGATCAGCAAATTTTGCAGACAAATTGGTCGTGTAACGAATTTTCATAATAGAAGTGCTCTGATTATCACCGAAACAACTCCCAGAATTCTTTATGGAGAACTTTTCGCAGAAACTCATTAATACAAGTACCTTGACAGCATTATCTCCAAAACTGCAGACTATTGGCGACAGTAGCGGTGGGTAGTGAAAGGCTCACAGGCTTGAGCACCTACCCCCTCCCCACTCACCACCCCCAACTCTATCCCAAAGTCAGTTGAAACCGTTATGACCTCACACAATGAACACAGAGAGATCAACTTGGCGGCTTGCTCGCCTATCCAATCACTGTTGTCACCGCTTAAAACTATAGTAACCCAGCAGCCAATCAAATGTTTTTAGGGCTCAGAGAAGATGAGCCCTTTTCCCACAGCTCGTCCTTAATGAAACTCTTCTTGTAAAAAGGTAGAAGACTGGGAAGATATAACACTGTATAGAGGGCTCACGCTCTGCTAGTCTTGAGAATGGGGTGAAAGTTTACGACACATTTTCCCCCACTGACACAGATACCTAAGAGCTCATTGGTTCTTTGTTGGGTGCATTCAACTTTCTCGACTACACGGCCTAATCCAGCTCATAGAAGTATTATGTTTGAAGTGCTGTGTAGGCATGTATAAATCAGGTCGAACTACTTTTACAGCAACATTTTCATCACATGAAAACTAATTAGAGGAAATTTGGAGGTGAATCGGCTTCGTCCCCACTATGAACAAGAATTTAACTAAGAATAAATAGATGGAAAACAAAGGAAACTCTTCTCGTTTGAATGGTTCTCAAACTGCCGTGGCTCACCGTGAGTATAAAAAAAATCATCAATGATTAGTTCTTATTGCTAGCCACTAGACGGTAAAGAACTGGAAGCAACCTAAGCCCTACCCAACTTTTGGTCCACCCACCGCCACTGATTGACGACGTCCTTCAAAGACTCCAAAATGCATTAATCGCTTGGACAGCAGAATTAATGACAATTTAGAATTTAAAAGATCATTTCACTGAATATTAAATTACAATAAAATGCCATAATGGCAATGTTTTGCCGGTTCTAATGTATTATTATGGTTCAGAGGTATGAAAATCAAGGAAAATATTTCAATAAAAATGACAAAGCCATCAAACAAATTAATATTCCATTTTATATAACTGATTTATTACTCAAAATGAAGTGTTCGCTCTCTCTCTCGCTCTCTCTCTCTCTCTCTCTCTCTCTCTCTCTCTCTCTCTCTCTCTCTCTCTCTCTCTCTCTCTCTTGTC